ATAACATTAAGACTAGACCCATGCAGGATCTGGGAAGGATTTCCAAAAGCTTTAAGACATGAGATACCAGAACTCACAGAGTCTTTAGAATTTTATAAATACGAGGAATTACAAGAAGTTGTTTGAATATGAGATAATACGACAGCACAGGATCCAACTAACCCGCCCAAATTTTGATGTTTGCGTATTGAAGGCATCCACTGCTACAAACCATGGATCTCGGAAAGCAGGAGCTACAATTTTCCCCAGGTCCAAAGGGAATAGTTTTGGATGATGTTATTGTGGAGGTGGCAAACATCTCAGAGAAATATCCAGAAGAGACGATAGAAATGGAAATAATCCCAAAAATCTTGGTGCATCAAGAGCCAATAAATAGGAGCAGATCGACGAGAATACTCAAAAAATTAAAAAAGAAATGACTAAATAATTTTCCAGGCGATAAGAAAGGAGTAACGTTGGTAATAGACAGAAAAGTGTACATGGAACAAATGGAAAGTAGCTTAGACGATGGGAACACTTGTCAAATACTAAGGAAGGAAACTGGAGAATCTACAAAAGGAAATGAATAACAACGGAGAAATCGACAGATGGATGATGAATTCTTTAATGAAATAAGCAGTAGAAAAACCGCTAATATTAATAGCCAACAATAAACACACACAAGCTAGCGAAATTCATTTGATTGAAGTCCAAGAAAGTGGATTCTCGAACAGCGTGAAGGACTTATATGAATTTTCTCAAAGCATCTAAGACATTGGACTGGCAAGGACGAAAATGTCGGTAAGTTTTGGCGCACTATCCGGGTTCACAAAGATCACAAGACAGAAGGTGTTCACCTCCATTGTGGAGATCTTGTAACGAGAGGAGGATATCCTGAGAGCCGAACAGATGTGGAATAAGTCGATGACACGATGGATCAATCTGATAGTTAGGACCACATATTTTACATCTAAAGGCATGGGACCTCCACTCTCAACTCTATTGGAAAATGCATACATGTACAAACTAGAAGAGGAATTTGCGACATCCCCGCTGCAACAAAGAATGTTCTTATGACACTGGGCTGGCTGCCTGGAACTTTGGTCCCATGGTAAAAAATGTTGGATGAATTCCTCCACTTTATAAACCAACTTGATGAACGAATTGTATTCAAAATGGAGGTGGAAGAGAATGAATGTTGTGATCCTCCGTTCTAACTGGATACTCAGATGGAGACTATTCAGAAGGAAATCACTTTCTGGAATAATCCTCAATTTCCAGTCTCTTCACAAGTACAGACAGAAGAATGAAGACTGAGGATCGTAGATATGGAGACCAAGATGATTCGACTTTTCACTTTGATAAGTTGTAACTCTGTACTTACGATGGCGCTTCTCACTGACGATGCCGACTATGATGCCAGTGAAACGTTTGGAAATGTATCCAGCCAAGTGTCCAATGCTGGAAATCACAAATACGAGACTAGGCACGTTCCAAAAGGTCTCCCTGACGCTCCGACCAAGTTGCGAAAACAAGGTCGAACCAAAACTAGGAAGACTGAGGAGTTTGCTACTCGGAAGCTTAAGACTAACGGACATGGAGTTCTGTTATGCAGAGTTGAATAAACTGACTCGGATTTGCCTCAGTATCAGGTACATTAGAGAATTTATAGAAAGAAATATACGCATAACAAAGAACAGATTTCAAATAGGATTAAAAAAAAAAAGATCAGGAATCGGGAGGACAGAGCCAAAAATTGCCATTGCTGATAAGAGAATGGAATATCAAAGTGATAACAAAGAAGACAACACTCTTCGCCAGCCTGCCGGCGCAACATGAGAAGATTGACAAACTGTATTGCTCGGGATTTTATGGTATCAAATGCGGCGAATGTAAAATGAAGTATGCTGGTGAAACAGTAAGCAAATGCATCCTACAAATTAAGAAACATGAAAGATTCAGAAGAAACATGAATAAGGAAAGATCTTAATAATTAAAACACATTGCACGGAGGGTAGACGAACTTGACAGAAAGCTTGGTGAGAATACAATAAAACGCAAGATACAAGAAGTCATCGATATGCTGACTAAGAGAAATCTAGTGAACAGGAGACTTGAAGTAGTCAGGATTAACGAACACTTTGCATAATGCCGAAGCAAGCTCGGATGCGATCTGGGAACAGCAAGATCAGCAAAAGACGACTAGATCAAGGAAATATCTTGAACTTGAGGAAAAGAAATCGCAAGGAGACAAGTGAGGAGCAATCGCAAACCAA